TGGAATGTAAACAAATAAATCCGCATGTCCAAAATTAAAATAAAATAAAGTGCAAGAGTGACCAAAATATAAACAAAAAGAAATTAATATGAAAAACTCGAAATAATAAAATAAAGAGAACTAGTGACCAAAATGAAAATTAATGGCTAAAGTTCGAGGACCTAAGTGGTGGTTAGACCAAAATTAATGATCAAAACGCAAAAAGAGACTAAACAAATAGGACCTAACTTTCGATTTTCCCCAAATTTTATATTAAACCCCATTTCCATTCTGTTTCACTTTCAAAATCACCTAAAAATTTCTGGGGTCTCGTCTTCCTCATTTCCTCACGCAGCAGCCGCTCCTAACACATCCCACCAACGTTGGCCGCAAACGCTCTCCGACCACCATCACCGGTGGTCAGACTACCAAGATAAACCCCCTATGACTCTCGAACTTTCTCTCCTTAAACTCTAAACTCAAAAACGAGACCTCTAATCCTACACATGCAAAACCTCTTAAGCACTAAACCGAATCCATATGGATCTCAACTACACCAACTCCGGCGAAGATACGACACAAGCTAAGGTAAACGTCTTCTTCTCTATTCTTATATTTTGTTTTTTTTATTCGAAAATTACTGAAAATAAGTATATAGAAAGTAAAAAAAAATGCTCACTATTATATTTGGTATTTTACTTGCTTCAGAAATATAGACTAATTGTATATAACACTCTCTTTAGAAAGGAGGAAAAACAAGGGAGAGCCCCCCTTTTGTTCTTACATTTCATTCGGTTTTATAGCTGAATTTTACATAGTTTTTTCATAAAATAAAACAACTTGTTGGGTGTTTGATTAATCATATATGCATTTATCCCTTTAGTGGCAGGAAACAAGGGATAGTGGCATGGTAGGTATGGTGGGGTAGGAGAATAAAAAAATAAATGATGTTTACATTGGTAAATAACTTTTTGAGGAGCTTTCAGCTTATTTGAGCATAAATAGTTAATTAGTAGTCAAACCCTTTATTTTTAGTGTTTGATAAACACCTTTTTAAAAGAGTTGATTGTGAAAAATAAGCTAAAATGAAAACGCTAAAAAATTCAACGGTTTGAGAAAGTTGATTGCAAAATAAGATGTTAAATGACATATTTGACCTTATTATACATCCTTGCCATAAATCCTAATTTAATGAAATAGTTTCCATCCTAATCCACTTGATCTAATGATTAATTAGTGAAATTTTTTTTTATTATTCTATTTTTTAGTTTTAGATTCTCAAATATATTTTAGTTAAGAAATATAACAAAACATGAAAGTAAAAAAAACGCAGTGTTGATATTTTATACGAGGTTAATAATATGTATCAATACCAGAAGATTATATTTGTAAATATTAAATTTAAAAAATATATTCAGAATTTTCAGAAAATATTCACTAATCTTCTTAAAGAAATTTTAATTCATTATCAAAGTATTTTATCCGAATAATTTTACCCCAATAAATACTATAATATTATAAATACATATAAACGTATCATACTCTTATATGTCATTTTACATATATCAACTATCAATTAAATTTTCTATATACTTCTATATAAACTATTAATCAAATTAACTAATTAAATCAGTTAGTTAAATCAGTTATTAAAATCAGCTATTAACTATAAGTTGTTTATTAAACACCCCCAATATCTGTCTAATTAATATGTCTTTCATCTTGGTTAGTATATAATTTAATTGGTTTAAAGATAGCTTTATAAGAGCCGCTTTGTATTGTATTAAATTATGACGGAGCTTTGCAATCATACAATTATTCTAACTTTTCAATTTGCTGTATCTGCAGGTTCGTTCTGTCATCTGACGGCTACTTCTTTTACGTGCATATATTCGGTCGCAAGTTGGTACCATTATGGAAGGAGTTTGACGGCGTGAATTTAAATGTGTAGATATTCTATTCACTTATATTTTTGTGATATAGTATAAATTTAAATAGGGTAAACTATGTAGATAGTCTCTTATGTTTTTGGTTTGGATGAATTTGGTCACCAATTTAAAAATTAAAGGGGAATGACCCCTAAGTTTATAGATTCATTCGATTTTAGTTCTTCAGCCATTAATTTTCATTAACTCTCTTTTGTTTAAGTCCCTAACATGATTGAGATACTAAAATCGAATGAGAGTTAACGATAGAGACTAAAATTGAACGGATCGATAACGTTAGATACCATTCTCCCTTAATTTTTAAATTGGTGACTAAATTCGAAAAAATTGAAAACATAAGGGACTATTTGCATAGTTTACCTATTTAAATATTATAATTATTATTTGTAATAAATTTAGAATTGATGTACGCTCTACTTATGTTACCCTAGATGGATTCAAAAATAAGTTGAAAAATTGACTAAAAAATCAATAGTTGACAGATTTAATAAGACAGAGAGAATATATAATATATATTTTTAATTGCAAAAAGCAAAATAAATTTGAGTTTTTAAATTACGATATTTAGTGCATTTAAATATATGAAAATTGCATGAACCAAACAACTTCAATGGTTAAAGGATTGTATTATCTTGAGATTCTTGGTTCGAGCACCATGTGTGCAGTGTATGAGCATTCAATATTAAATGATTGAATTTTTTGAACAAATATCACCTTGTATTTATTTCAAATTAATATATATATATGAAGAATCCCTAAAAAAATATTTAATGAATTTAAATATATTATTTGTAGAACTCATTAACTGATATAAGTGGTAAAATAGAATGTTGATCTACCTATAAGTCTTGGGTTCGAGCAACAACGTTTGTAGGATGTATGTTGTCAATAGGTTAAGAAAATTTTGAACAAATATTATTTTGTAATCACCTCAAACTATTCAAAAATATTATTTATAATTTAATATTTATCATGCTTTATATATTAAAATTTAAAATTTGAAAATAATCATAAAAAGTTCTTATGCTAAAAAATAATTTAATTTTTTTGTGAACTAAGATTTAGTAATAATTATTAAAATTAAACTATTCAGTTCTTTTATCTATATTCATTATGATAATAAAAACGATATATTGAAATTTTAGGGTAAACTACGCATTTAGTACATAAACTATCAGTTTTGGTCTATTTTAATATCTAAACTTTCAATTTTTTAAAATTATACCTAACGTTTAGTTTTCATTTCATTTTAGTATATGCCGTTAAAAAAATTAACGCGTTTAGTACCTAAACTATCAGTTTTATTCTGTTTTATTACCTAAACTTTCAAATTTTTTAAAATTTAATGTTAAATTTTGAATGGTGTACTAAAATAAAACAAAAACAAAACTAAAGTTTTTATCAACGGGTACTAAAATAAAATAAAAACTAAACTTTAGGTATGATTTTAAAAAAATTGAAAGTTTAGGTACCTAAATAGATCAAGATTGATAATTTAGATACTAAACGTGTAATTTATCCAAAATTTTATGAAGTGTAATTAAAGAATAATATAAATTAGTAAAATATTTTAAAAGATATAAAATTTATATTTACACTCCACTTAGAAATCAAAATTTATTTTCATCTATTTCTTTTTGACACTTGAAAAATATTATTAATAAAAATTAAAATGTGAATAGTTGAAAACAAATATGAAACCATATTAAAAAGTATTTAAACTTTGCAAATTAAATATTGTTAAATACCAACAAGGATGGAGCTCCCTTAGGGTCCAAGGGGTTGACTCCGGTTAAAATTTATATATTTGATGTAATTTTAGTTTAATAATATTTTGGTTCATGTAAAAATAAATATTTAATTTTTAAAAATATAAAAATTTATTAAATATTTAATCAAGTAGAAGCCGAACTAAATAATGATAAGTTTGTGTTCTCAAATTTTTGGTCTAATTACAATTTAAGTCATTTTAAGTTTTATATACTAAACAAATAAGAAGTTGTCTTTTGAGTTTTTTTTTAATTTAGGGTAAATATATGATAATATGTGTAGAAAGACTTTCAACTATTTGACAATGAATGCTCATACCCCTACATACATACTTGACCTCGGGACCTCAAGGACAACAACAATCCCTTAATCACAAAGGTCGCTTGGTTCATGCTGAATTTCGAGTTTAAATACCTAATAAGTCTTTATATTTTTCTTAAATAGTCTAATATTTCGTTCTCCCAACAACTGATTGATCTAATAAGATGAGGCACTAGATTCTTTAATATGAATTCTGATGATTGCGAATGAAGTAAATTGGGTTGGAAAGGTCGTACTTGCTTCTGTAATTCTTGATCCGAATTAATCGACCAATAAATCGGATACCGTTGGTTATACCAAAAAATTAGATATCGTTAAATATCAAATAATAGAAGTATCAAATATATTAAGCAAAAATGAAAATCAAACTCTTACTACAGTCTGGATCAGCACTTGTTAAATATTACTAAAACTGAAGTTAAATTTTTAATGATATTTTAGATATTATTTGAATAAAAAAATCGTAATTATTTAATTCTAATGCATCTATTTATAGTGTTAAAAATATTAATTTTAATCGGTATCTAAATATAATAGAAATTAAGTTATAATATATAAAATAATAAATGTAATTTAATATGGATACAAATTCTCTTTTAATGTCTATATGATTTTATCTATTTAAATTATTTTTGAAACTGATATTACTTTGTTATTATATTAAATATAATTGTATATTAAAATGTTTATTTTAATGTAATTTAATAATACAATAAACTAAAAAGGTGTTTTTTCTTTAATAAACTAAAGTGTTTATTATTTTAAAACAATTGAATGATAAGGCGAGTTATTAAATTAGGCCTAAATTGCAAGTTAAATTGATTTCACAACTGAAAAGTGGTGGCCCAGGACACGCAGCCTTAGCCGTTAGTTTCACCGAGTAGGATACGCGTCCACATCTTAACACAGCAAAAATATTTTTTTTTTGGGGTGAAAATCCACTATATAATCCTATCCTATCATAACTACCATTTCCGTCCCAGTTCCTCCTTTCCCCCTCCCATTTTCGTCAGCACCCAAAAAAAAATATCTCAAAGTATCAATCAACAAACGATGAGTTACTACAATCAGCAACAGCCTCCGGTAGGCGTTCCTCCTCCTCAAGGTCAGCAGCCCCTCTTAGTTTTTATTTTATGTTTATTTATGTACTTTCTTTTCGTTCGTTTTCGTTTTTTTGATTGGATCTGATTTAGATTTTTCTTTTTATTCATGTTTTCTTTGTGATTGGGAAATATAGGTTATCCAACAGAAGGATATCCTCCCAAAGATGCTTATCCACCACCGGGATATCCTCCGCAAGGATATCCTCAGGGTTATCCTCCTCAGGCATATCCTCAGCAAGGATATCCTCCTCAATATGCTCAGCCCCCGCCTCAGCAAAACCAGGGTCCCGGTTGCCTTGAAGGCTGGTAAGCACTCTCTCTATGTCTACCGTATATGGTTTGATAAGATCTAGTACTAAAATTCTGATGTTTGGCGGAATAAAGGGGATAATTCTGGTTTCTGTGCAATTTAAAATAGTGCTTATTTTTGGGGAAAATAAAATCAGAACAGCCCATTACGATTTCCGATGAAGAATCAGTTAATTTCTCTCTTTTGGTGTTTGGTTGAGGCGGTGCTTTGGCCATCTCTTTCACGAATTGCTAGATAAGGGTGTTTTCGTCCATAAAAACTGTGTTATATATATTATATATATTGGAGGCGATGATGAAGACAAATCTTCGATAAGTTTAAGGTTGGGACGGCTTAACGAGGAGTTAATTTCATTATTGAAAGAATAAATTACTAAAAAAATATAGAAGGCGAGTTGAATCGCATGGGGAAAATATCATCTGGGAAAAGCTTTAGTAAAAGTAGGGTGCTTATAATGTCTTTTGATAATTATTTAAATAGTATAAATGATGATATTACTTTAGTGATATTAGTGTGCATATTATGTTTTAAATAGTTTATATTATATAAATTCTGGTATTTAAAAGATTATATTTCATATTACCGGAGGAATTGATTTATGGGTGTGCGTTGCAGTTTGGCTGCTCTTTGCTGTTGCTGTCTTCTGGATGCCTGCTTCTGACCCAGCTTAGGAAAATGTTGAATTCCAATATTATTTTCCAGACTTTAGTTTCAATTCTTCATCTTTATATATATATATATATATAGCTATTTTCTGTAAAACATTTGAACTTAATGTTTTATAGTAATATTATATCCTTTTATTTTATCTTTGCTTTTTTCCTTTCAATTTCTATTGGGCTTGTCTTTATACTTGGATGAATATGTGAAAAAATATTACAGTATAAGGACAACAAAATTAAAAAACAAAAATTATATTCGACGCATAGTAATGTATAATATCATTATAACTTATTGCACAATATCATATTTTTCTTTAATAATATGACGCAAGTACACGACAATATCTGTTCAAATATAACTCTCAACCTTTTAATATTGAACACTCACATCCTTGACATTTATGGTGCTTGAATCTGAGTCCTCAAAGAATAACAACAATTCCTTTACTACGGATGTTACTTTGGGTCATGTATCATCAATTTAATATTAATCATACCTGTTGTTAATTCTTTGTTCGGAGGATTCAAGCTTTGGGCAAAAGCTTTTAAACCACAAAACTGGCTTGGGCTTAAAAGAGTATCTGTAAAAAAAAAAAAAAAAAAGTTGTAATTGACTTGAAATTAAAGATCTATACTTTGCCTGATAAAAATCCATTAACTTTTAAAGTTTATACTTGATTGGAGGTAAAAAATTTAGTTGTTCGATTTCATTTGATTAGCATGAAGCAAGCTCATTTTTATATAAATCGAGTTCAATTCTCATCCTGACTTCAAATTGAGATTTTTCAGTAGTAAATAAAAAACAATTTTAATCAGTTATTAAAGTTGGGCATTAAGAAGTCCAACCTGCAGTAGTTGAGTTGAACACTAATAACTGCAACATGGTGATTAAATATTTATTGTCAAATGATTGAGAGTATTTAGAATACTTTGTAATCATCTTAACTTTATAAAAAAAATAAGTGAGTTTGAATGGATATTTTAAGTATTAAATACAAAATATATTAAAAATTAATTAGATGCACGAGACACTCAAGTCAATAATTAGAATATTTTAAGTAGATAATTTTTTGGTAAATATACAAATGAATAGTCGGGGTATCTTTATGTAACTTTTAATAGTTGAGGGACTTAACAAAATAACATTCTATGATCGGAGGATCATTTTGTAACTTTTAATAGTTGAAGGACTTAATAAAGCAATACCCTATAATCGGTGACCATTTGTATGCTTTATCCATATTTTTTTTATAATCATAAGTATTTAATTTATTATAAATTAATTTAGATTAAATATTATAAGAATAATCGGTGAAAGAAAATGTAATCCGCGATTATATTATTGTACATGACAAAAACTACAGTAAAGTTGAATACCGACTGAAGAGGGAAGAGGGCAAATACATCACGTAGAAACTTGTTGAAGCATAATTTGGTGGTCGGATTCACTTTTAGGGTCCACCTTGAAGCTGTGAATGATGAAGAGTTGGAAGCTTCAAAACGGTCACCGATTTCCACTTGATATTCTCCATGAAAAAGAGAGGCCTCAAAGAAACCTTGGGCTCAGTTTGGCCTTGTAAACTGGCCTTAATCCCCCATTCTTTCAACAGCTTGTCCACAACATCCCCAGTCGCCAAGTTGTTGAAGTTATTATCAGTCAAACACATACGATAACACCCTCCTGGTTGCCAGGCCGACCATATTATCATCCCATTAACACCAGGGTGCCCATGCCCTTCCCTCAACACTTGTTCCAAATACATCGCCTGATTGGGTTGCTGTTCACGTCTACTTCCGTCAGCCATATTGGCAATTTCATGGCGGCTAGTGTGTCAAGATGATCTTATGTACTGAAGGTTGGGGACATCGAAATGGCACTCGAGGCCGATCGCCATTTGCTTAGCATTGCCACCCAACACGCCTTGAATTTCCTTCAGTTTCGCAAGGTACTTAGCCGGTGTTGTGTTGCAGCATCATCCTTCTGCTCGAGCGTATTGAAATCATTCATGAACAAAGGCACCAAGAATCGATTTCGGACGCCATTTTGTAGAAGGTGGAAGAAGCGTGTAGTCCAAGCTTACTTTCGAAGAAATTGAAGTGCAGATTCTCATTCACAACGTCCCAGCCGATTACTTGACACTTTTATTTGGTCATGATTGAGTTAATCCTTTTGCTGACTGCTGCCGAAAGGTCGTTTGCCCCAAGAGAGGGCATCCAACTGGTTGGTAATGGGGATCGTCCCAGAAAATGTTGTGTCCTCGAACCGCAATGTTGTGCTGTTTCATCAATGCCATCATCGAATCCCACACTGCATCTCTTCCTTGCCTCGGCTCGGTAGCCAACGTTGGTGAGGATGTTCTTGTTCGAAGCACAGCCGACAGATTTCCCGGAAACCTTTTGCTTGATGGAAATCTTCGAGTTCGCAACCTGATTCCCTCGTGCATCATCGACACGATTACCCGTCTTTTGTCTTGCAAAATATATATATCATCAGTGACAGTGCATCTAATATAAGTCGACTATATATATATATATATATATATATATATATATATATATAGTAAGCAGACTAACTGACCTTATCAATGTTCTCAACATGAATGTGCAGGGAGACGCTATCGACCTAGATTTCGACCGAGGTGTTACGGCTCTGAAGAAATTAGACAGTGAATTAAATGACCTTGTAGTAAAACAAGATAAAATTGATGATCACCTCGAATAAAATCTCAGCAGGACACGAGGCATCCACGGTGACGCCGCCCTTGAGCATGGTCCAACACTCCGACTCCGCAATAGTTGCCGCCCTTTAATCCGGAACAGTTTTTAATACTGCCCTCATCAAGATTTCCCTTCACTCGCTTTGTACCCATCCTTCATTATCACCATAACAATTATCCAAACCGTTATTTTTTTTCAAATTATTACAAGATAGTATATAACATATTCAGACCCTGCAGATGCATAATGGAGAATGATATTTTCCTTTACGAGTGATACCATCGAGATTACTTACCGGAGAAGGTATGGAGCTTGTTGTTTTACATGTAAAGCTTGTGAGAGACATTGTCGAGGGATTGGGTTCGTTTACGAGCCACAACAAATTTGTTTCCATTCGAATAATTTCGGTGTTGGAATAAGGCATTTCCGAACGTTGACCATCCTATCAAACCCTCATCTAACTCTAGGTTCTTAATTATTGTCGGAACCGTCTTTCGGTTGGGTTTCGACTTGAAATAATGGGTTAGAGTCGTCACTGATCATTTTTAAAAACATTTAGGTGGATCGGACACCATCTCACCTGATCTGCGTTTTACCAGAAATATGTCGGGTTCGGGAGTCGGTTACGGTCAAGGAAGGCTTAGAACCCTTGAACCGCCCTTTCGCTACCAATTAATTTTCCAGCTGTCTTAGTTGCGAAAAATTGAAATTGAAATTTAAAAAAAAAAAACTCGATTCAAATTACTTACCTTTGATTGGTTGAAATTCCTCTAAACAGAGTCAAAAAAAATGTTAGATTACAAAAATAAAAATAAATAAATATATATATGAAAAAAGAAAATTTTCTTTAATTAAATATAAAATCAAGTTTAAAGAAAAAATAACAATGAAGAAAATAAATTTTCAAGGAAATAATAAAATAAAAAAATAAATAATAAAAGAGTAAAAAATGTTAAATTTCAAAGAAAGAAAAAAATAAAAAAGGAAAGAAAAAACGTTAGGGAAAAAAATTATAATATTTTATTCAAAAGAAAAAAAAAGGTCAAAAGAAAATTGAAAAAAGAAAAAGGAAAAAGTTGAAAAAGGAAAAAAGAAAAAATTGAAAAAGAAAAAAGAAAAAAATCAAATAAGTTGAAAAAAGAAAAATTAAAAATGTTTAAAATATAATTAAAAGAAATAAAAAAAAGCATATAAATAAATATATTAATGTTAAATTGAATAAATAAAAGAAATAAATACATATATATAATAAAAAAGTAAAAAAATATAAATATATTAAATAAAATAAAATAAATAAAGGGAAAAAAAAGAAATTAATTACAATAAAAAATAAAAAATAAAATGTATAAACAAAGGATTAAATTAAAAATATTATAAAAAATCAAATATTAATAAAAATATCAAAATATGCATGAACAGAGCTAAAATAGTAATGATTAAAACTAGAAGCTTAAAATAAAATAACATAAAAACTTCATTTCATGGCTTAATAATAAGAGTACAAATACCGAGGGACCTAAAATGTTATTATCTCATCTCAGAAAACACGCTGAAGGTCCCTCGTTAAAACGACGTCGCTTTGCCCGGAATATATATATATATATATGAAGACAAAATAGTCTTATTTTCCCATTTCTCACCCTTTAGCCGAGAGAAGAGAGAGAGAGAAATTCTCTCAACTCTCTCCTGGGGATATATATATATATATATATATATATATATTGAAGACAAAATAGTCTTATTTTCCCATTTCTCACCCTTTAGCCGAGAGAAGAGAGAGAGAGAAATTCTCTCAACTCTCTCCTGGGGGGTTCATCGGCCGCCACTGCCGGTGACTACTTACGACGGTTCACGGTAGTCGACACGGCAATGCAAGGTGGCCAGAGAGACCAAATTGAGCCAAAAGCTTCCTCTCGTTCTACACAACCCGATTCTAAGCCCCCTTTAGCCTAAATCATACCTCAAACCCCTAGATCAAGGAAAAATACCTCTCGAAAATTTTTTAGATGTGGTGACCCTTCAGCTTCTAGATGGTAAGAACTCATTCATATTTTCTCTTGTTTTTTCTTTCTTTTATGTTCGAATCCCCTCCCTGAATACTATATTTTTTTAGTTTCGAATATTTCTCTTGATATTCTTTCGAAACTGTTTTTTTCATTTTCGACTGATTTTTCCTCAATTATATGTCCACTACTAGATCTCTTGTCACATATTTATAGTCTTGATTTTAGAATCCTATTGTGACTCGAATATTAATTTATTTTTCTATTTTTTTTTGCATTGGTTGTGCGCCAGA